CCCGCCGCTCTCCCAGTGAATCCGGCATGCCGGCAGCCCAGGCTGCGCATATTCCTCCTTTATTCCTCCATTATTCCTCTCCGCTCCCCTTTTTTCTTCTTCTCTCGGCACTCCGCCCGTCTCTTCTCCCATTCCGACCGCAGATGCGGTTGGAATTCTTTAAATGGCCCTTTTATGGGCGGCACCATTCGGGAAGGTTCTCCGGATTCCGAAATTCCACGAGTTCGTCCGGATTCGTCTTCCACTCTGATCCACCGTCTCGTCAAACACCCCAAGGTCCGGAAACTCGCTGCTAGAAATTTCGGAAGCCAGAGGAGCCGCTTCCCCGCTTCCGTTCCGGGAAATCGGGTTACCCCTCGTTTGTATTTACAGAGAAAAATCCCCCGTGGAAGATTAAGGGTGGATTTTTGAACAGAGTACTATCCAATAACGCAGCTTTATTTACCGGATTTATAATGCATTCTCTCCGAAATAAAGCTGCATTATCGGATAATGCTCTGTTCAAAAATCCACCCTAAGTCGAGTGACACGCACATACGCGTTCACACTCACTCGTTCGGCAATCTCGTGGAAAGTACCAACACAGATCAAGAGTCAGATCGATTGGCCTTTTTAAACTTTAACCAGTGGAATTTGTTCATTTGTTCGTAAAAACCTTTTAAACTGCAAATTAAATGTTAAAACTTGCGACTTCAGAATTTAAAAGAAATTGGAACGTTTTCCCATACTTTCAGACAAAAGGCATCTCCTCTACGAAATAACAGTATCCAAATCCGTTCCATCACAATCGAGGTTTTAAGAGGTTAAAGTCGGGGTTACGTAAAACTCGAGTAACTTCTGTTTGTTCGGAGTGTCGTTAGGCATTCCTCGTCCTCGTCCTGTCCACGGTCGGATTTCCAAAGCCGAGGGATCGGGGGACTTTTCTCCCTTCGAGTTCTTTCCTCCTCGATTAGTTAACGAGGGGCGTCGGAAAAGTTTCCGGCCTGAGGCACTTCCAGTTCTAATAGTTGTAATAAGGGCTGTATCGATCCTTAGATCGGACATCGGACATCGGCCGATTCGGGCTTTTCCCTTGAAGTCGGCGAAACCGATCTTAAGGGTCAGCCGATTTTCAGATTCTTTAAATATACCCTGTACAGTATATATATTTAAGTTTTTGTGCGCCGAACACGCATCGCATCTCTCCCCCTTGCTTCGATTTCTCGGCATTTTGTAGCAGATCGGGGGACTTCTACAAGCAGGCAGTGGCAGATGCGATCTGTATTTATTCCGGAGAACTGAACTCGAAAGCAAACAGCTTCTCCTGCTAAACGGCAGCGGACGAAGGAGCACGTGCAAGAGGCTGCTGCCTTCCCATGGAATCATCTAAGAAGCCTTTGCTACTGAATTTTTCGAAAACAAACACTGAAACCTTGGACAAACCTGCTTCCATTAAGAGCGCGGAGGCTTAACGTTAATGCCAATGTGGAATGCCAAAACGGTACTGTTATATTGATTCAAACGAATGATCCAAACCAGAAGTGATATACATTTGTATGTAAATATATGTAAATATCTTATTTATAATATGACACCTTTTATGAAAGCAGAATCTGATATGTATGGCTGGTTTTCCTGCAGTGTGGAGCACAATTTATTGTGATTTTTAGTGAATTTGGATTTCGATACAAAAAATAGGTCATTGTAAAGGTTTTTCACTTCATGTTCAATATAGAACTGATGCACTTAATTCCAGTTAATGTCATTTTGATTACAAAAAAGGCATATCCCACAGACATGCACAAGGATCGGTATTGGTATCGGTCATCTTTCAAGAACAGATATCGGCTATCGACGTATCCGCCAAATGTTTCTTGCACAAATCGGTACAGCCCTAATTGTAATAGTTGATGTCGCCATCGAATACGTTTTTCTTCGTGCGAGAAAAGAAAGAATGGAGTATTAGAACTGAAAGGCTTCAGGCATGAAACTTTTCAACGCCCCTCGTAAGGTAAGAAGTTTCCTGTAGACCGGGTTCGGAGGCCGAGTGCTTCCGGCTTCCGAGTTGTAACCTGGTGGCGGGGGATCGAGGACCGGTGGCGGGAGATGGAGGCTTGGAAGCAGGGGATCGAGGACCGGTGACGGCGGTCTCTCTCCGCCGATAGGTCGCCCATCTCCGCCCACAGGGAGTGTCTGTTTAGTGTGGAGTAACACACACGGCCATTCCGTGTGCTACGTTCAGGAGATACGGGTGCAGTACTCCTTAAATGTCTCTCGTACCAAGTCACTTGTTACCACTTGGCAACCCGCGAGCTGCCGTTAAGGCCTCCTCTAGGACCGCAGGGGGTGTCTCTGCCCGAGGGACCGTGTCGTACGTACCCGCCCGCACGTCCTGCTCTCTTTTTTTTCTTTTTTCTTTCGAAAAGAAAGAAAAATAAGAAGTTCCCGGCAAATCGGAGTAACGAAGAGAACTTTCGGCCGCTCTTTTTCGAAGTACCGAGTGATGCAATAAATACTTGCCGATGTCTCTCGGGATCGCAGCTCGGTCGGTACCGGTCGCACTAAAATGAAATTTCGACGAAGTAATCTGCTTACTAATAATGAAGCACGTTTCGGGTCGTCCTCGTACGTGCGCCCGGATCTTTCGAGCACCGAGGACCGAACGAGTGCCAAGAGTGCCTATGGAGAGTCCGAAAGGAAAAACCATCGAGCGATTTCGACGAAGCTTCGTCTCCGAAGTCTTTCGGGAACGTTTGACGAAAGGAATAAATAAAAAATGGGGGAAAAGCGTGAAAATGATAAAATATGGAATCTCTCCATCGCATCGGTCCCCGACGTCGGCAAAGGAAAAAATTATTATGTTCCTGAAATATGAAAAAGGCAGGAAATCGGAAATCCAATACGAATTGGGTTGAGAACCGTACGGAATGAACAGAAGACGAGGAAAGAATGCTGAGAATCACCCCAAAACGCACTATCACGTGCTCGCCCGTTCCGGGTTTAAGTCTAGAGCGGTGCCGATCACCGTCTAACGAAACCCGAGGAAAAGAAGAAAAGAGAGCGGAAAGCAATCCCCGTTCTCCGTCGTCCCTTCCGCATCTCCTTTCGTTAGGGAAAACGAGACGAGAGGGAGAGTCTCCTCCGCGTGGAAGCGTGCGAATCCGTCCGTCTCTCGGAGAGACCAAAAGAGGAAGGAATGCGTCTGACGGGAGCACAAAAGGGAGGACTCGCTCTCTCTTCCTCCGCATCGGTCGAAAAGGAAGGAGGTCGTACCTGATGTTGACGGGATGCTGGACGGGATTCTCCCAATCCGTGTATTCGTTCTGGACGGTGGCGAGGATCTCGTTCAGGTGATAGGAGTAGGAGTTCCTGATGCACGTCCGGAGGAGAACGTCCCTGCGCTCCATCTCCATCCCGTACTGCACGTCCCGATCCGAGAAGAAGAGGAGTCCCTCCGCGCTCGTCACCCCGAACAGGAGCTCGTAGGAGCCCAGCTTGTACATGGGCGGCTCCTCGAGGATCGTGACGCCGTCCACGCTCGGCCCGAAGGCGTACGAGAACTCCGGGCTCTCGGGGGCAGCTCGCAGCAGGTCCTCGAGGCTCGCTTCTCGCAGGCATTGCACCATCTGCCGTGGAAGGCGGTACGACGGGGAATGAACACGTCGAGTCGGACGGAGACCCGCTCGCTCCGATCTCGAGATGCGAAGGAAGTCCCCGAAGCCCCTCGTACCTTCGGGTCGTCCCACCGATCCCCGGGCCGACGATTCGAGTTCGACGTCGCGTGGAACTCGATGCCATCGGTGCCACCCTCGGTGCCGAGTCCATCGGATCGAGATTCGGTATGCCGACCCCTACCGCCTGCGAATCGCCCGACGACGCGTCTGTCCGTGTCCGAGATCGATACGGAAAGTAGCCGGGGACGGGTTTCCACCCTTTGCTGGCATTTCGCGAAACGTTGACAAGCCGATCATGGGGTGAAGCGGACGTTCTCGTATTGACTCTTTGAACCTTGCAGTTTGCACCAAAGAATTGAGAGAGAGGGAGAGAGAGAGGGGGGGAGGGGAAGAGAAAGCGGTTGAGACTGGATTTTTCTATCCCCGTCAAGATAATATCTCTGCGTTCTCCTCGGACGTTCAAGTTTCCTCGTTAGAGTCCAAGCTTCTCTGCCGTTTAATCCCAGATAAGATCGTCTTCGAACGGACCAAAAAATCCAATCTGGGACGATCGCCTTCGACGGGGGTGAATCCGAATCAGCGAGATCGAATCACCAAGTACCGAGTACGAAGTACGACACGCTGGCAACCTCCCCCTCCCACCCCTCCTCCAACCCTATTTTTCAATTATCCCCAACATTATAAGAGGGCATCTCTCGAAGATCGTTCGACTTCGACTGTCGGAATCTCGAATAGAGGAATTTTTTATAACTCCCGAGGCCGAACCCGATGTC